TTTTTAAAGATTTTATTTATTTATTTGACAGAGGGAGACACAGAGAGAGAGGGAACACAAGCAGGGGGAGTGGGGGAGGGAGAGGCAGGCTTCCCGCTGAGCAGGGAGCCTGATGGGGGGCTCGATCCCAGGACCCTGGGATCATGACCTGAGTTGAAGGCAGATGCTTAACGAATGAGCCACCCAGACGTGCCCCCAAAAAAGGTGGAATATTTAAAACATGGTCTTTGTAGTCAGTAGGACTGGCCTCACATTCTGGCTCTACCATTTTACTGTAGGTGTTTCTAGGGAAAATCATTTATCCTAAGCTTCTGTTTCCTTATTTGTAAGATGGGGACATTATCTTAAATGATTAAATGAGGATGTATTAAAGTGCTTAAATACAGCATTTAATACATAATGGTGACTATCAGTATAAGCAAAAATTAGTAAATATCGTCTTCTATACATGTTTTAGAATCACAAAAGTATAAGAAATGATTCTCGTTTTACTAATTAGTAATGGGAAATTCAGTACCTAGCCATCTTCTAAAGCAAGGTGAACTGCTGCTGTGATGATAGCAGTCACGTTCAGGAAAGAATACCCTACTCAGGCAGTCTTAACCATAAGCACTCTGCCATATTTAATTTTCTTAATATGATGTGATTAAGGCCATTCTAATTTATTTCTAAAACATTAAAACTATTTTTAGATTCCGTACTATTTTTAGTCACACTAAAAATTAAGAATTCTGGTTTGTGGAATTTGGAAGTCAAACTTCAATGATATTCTGATGAGACTAAGAGGTTTAGAAGAAAGATTTAATTCCCATTGTTGGAGTACAGGCAAGCAATGATTCAGAAAACTGGTAACTGAGATATGTCTAGGCCATGATTTCAAATTTGCTCCAAGATGGTGAAGGAAGAAGTGGTACTGATAACACCCAGACACAAGATGCATAAAATTATTTCGATACAATGTCAGTTGGAAACCTATTATCCTTTGGGAGAGACAAATCTGATTTTATTATGGTCTTTATATTTTGAAATATTTTATTAAATAATTTGGTAAAGCAAAAACAATAATTACACTTTTTTTTTTAGAAGACTTGCAATGACCCTTTGGGTAGAACAAAAATATCCTTACTTCTTCTCTTGTCTGCTGTGGCTATGACATTATCAGGGTAATTTCTTGTTTAAAATTTTATATCTAATATGGATTTTCTACCTAAACTGATCATGATATTTTTCATTTTTGTTTTTTCCCTTGTCTTTACCTTTCAACCTTCTTGTAATCTGGGCGGCACATATAAATGTAAAAAAAATGTTGCTCCATAAAATGAGTAAGCTAAGTTGTCACTCCTCTTTCCTTCTTCTGTAATGCTTACCAAGGAAGGAAAGAACTATTTCACGTACATGACACTTATATTTCCTTGAAATTCTTCTTTTAAGAGACAATCAAGTGAATATTATACATATATAAAGAAAATGACTGGCTAGAAATTGATATTACTTATATTTCTAAACTACTTAATTTCATTAAACTTGCCTAATGTATAGTGCAATCCTAGAAAAGCTTATACTCCTATATACTCTAACGTAGATAATATCACAACAAGTAACATCATTTGCATGAGCTGGGACTTTCATAAACTACCTCATTCAGTGAGTGTGTCAATATATTGTATGGCTGATATATGAACTGAAGGCCAAGAAGAACATATTGTTGTCATACTGCAAGAAGCTTTGAGATGTTTATGTGGAAGCCTCAGGAGGTTATTAAGAAAAAAGAACACTCTGTTAAGTGTAATTTGTTTGGGTCTATTTTCCAGATCAATGTGAGTTACTATCCTGGATGAAAGGCAAGAGCAATCCTAGAAGGCAGAGCGAAAATCAAATGATAACATATTAGAAACAAGAAGAACAACAACAAAAATAAAAAGCAAGAGAAGAAACAACAATTTGAGAAAATCTGGAAACCTAAAGTTGCTATACATTTCATAGATACCAAATTCACTTAAAAGAAACAAACTTGCCCAGTACCACCTCTCCTCCACCCACGTGTACAGTGAAATAGGTTTATTCTTTTGGGGCATCTCTCAGTAATAAAGATCCAGTGTAAAACAATGAAAGTTATCTCTATAACTGAGGCTTAGTATAGTCATGCATATTGTAAAAGAAAAACTTAAATAAAATAGGTTTTTCTTAACACGCTTTATTGTATGTATTTGCTTATGCTGGAATTAGAATAGAGAGCATAACAGTCATACTTCAATAACTATACTTAATAAAAAAGGTGTGATTAAAAAACATATGTCTTAGCTGCAGAATGTCTTAGCTCAAAATAGCTTAAATTAAGCTTCAAAAATGTGGGAAGGGATAACATCCTCATTAAATAAAACCAGTCAAGTGAGTTGATAAATAATTAGTAACTGATAAACAACTCAGAACAAAGCTTCAGAAATGGCTTGATGAGGCAGGTAAGGCTGACAAACTTACTCTGAAGCTGAGGCTGCTGGAAGGAAAGGGGCTGTCCGAACACAAATGGGCTGTGGACTAGGGAAGAGGGAGGTTTTGCAGCTTGATCAAAGATGGAAGGAGCTGGGAGATTGGGCCGTGACTGAATGGAATTCAATATGGCACTCAGTTGGTCACCTGCAGTGGGCAAAACAGTCAAAACTACAACTTGTTATTAATTAACATCCAAAATGGCAAAGAATATGGTGTTTATGACATTCAGATAAAGTTAAACACTAAATAAAACTATGCCAATTCAGAAATGAGTGGAAGCTGGTGTTTGTTATCCTCAAGTTAGGGACCAAATGTTGCATGTTGTTTTAATAATCTTATGTAACAGCCCACCTACAAAAACAAATTCATGTAAATTCTTATACAACATTGAGCAGCAGCATGGGAGAATTCAGAGTCCATGAAGAATCTATGATAGATAAGTTGACTCAATATCATACAAGTGTAAATGAAGATCTAAGTAAACGATGTCTTCTACATAATACCTAACAAATGACTAAATAACCCTGCCTCATATGCGGTACACTTCATGCAGAAAATAAGCAAATATGAAAAGGTTTTTAAGAAAATGTAGAACTGAAGGGAGGCAAAGCATATGTTATTAACTTAGTAATATATTTACATTTAGTTAATAAATTAATATTTCCTTTTTTTAAGTAGTTCCTGCCAAGAAATTATACTTCTTAAAGCATGAACTCCTTTGCTTGGATGAATAATATAAAAATCTATAAGACCTATAAGATAAAAAGGAGTATGAGCTATCTAATTTGAATAGTATCTCAAATATGAATTCAGGCATTTTTCCTTAAAATTAAATACAAAGGACTTTAACAGATAAATATTTTTAAAAATATGAAACAATATAATTAGATGGATGATCCTTAGCTCCTCCTTTATAAGATTATGCATATTAAATAGTTTATATGAAGCTGAAAAAGAGAAGAAGAAAAAACATATCTAGACTACTTGATGCAGAAACTGGAAAACAGTACCTTTCCAGTCCCTAAATATAAATAAAGTTTTTTAAGTGAAAACTTTAAATGAAGCAGCAAGAAGGAAAAGACATATGGAAAGAACTGTGTACATAGCTACATGCCTACTGTTCAAAAACTTACGCTGTAGTTACAGAAAGGATTTTAGAGATTATGAAGAATTATTTAGAATTAAGAATACAGAATTTTTGCAAAAAACAATTTCTTGAACTTGGGACAGTATAAAAAGTTAAAGAAAATGGGAATTACTGTTAAAGGTAAGTTCATAAACAAAGGTCAGATATATTTAATTAGATTTAAATTTCTTAATATTCCTTTGCACCATCTAAATATTTAAAAAGCCTACTAACAAGTACATGCCACTTCGGAACAATATTAGCAGAATCACACTTTTAAAAAGTAATACTTTAATATTTCTACTTAATAACAAATGTTCTCAGCAATGTTTGGCTCTTAAAAGTTGGTTTATATTCCTATGATGTTTTAATAAATTATATTTTAAAGACTGATTTAAAGTCATAGCCACCAATACAATTTAGACATTTTAGAGATTGCCTGACAGCATACAATTTGAATTAAACACGGCTTTAAAACGGATTATTAACAAAGCATAGAAGTGATAAGTAAATGCTGAGATTTTAATTTAGGAATCGATAATGGGAGAGAGAAAGGGACATGAAGAAAACACCACCACGCATTACCCTACTTAAGTATGAAGATCTAGCTCAACTTAGTTGAAATCTAACCTACCAAAAATAAACAAGCAGGTATCTCCAAGCCTGCAGGATAGACCAACATAACAGAGTAGGAAAAGCCAAAAAGAAATCTTGTAGCTAGGCTTCCTTCGTATGAATACTTTGTGGAAAGCAATAAAGGTATCAAACAAAATGTGGTTTTGTTTTAAATTGAGTATTTCCTCTATGTTGATGTCATTTTGCATCTTGTTGACTATTTCATTATTTCACTTGCTCTGCAAGTCAGGTCTAATGACACTGTCTTTGTTCCTTGAAATCAAATCCTATGAATTAGTTTAGATAACATTTTAAAGTAAAATTATTTCCCCATAGGCTATCTTCTCCCTTCTACCCATCATCCAACTGTATGCTACTTGCTGATGATATGCTGATTTAGGAAAGGAGTCAGGATCAGGTACAAAGAAAGAACAGGAATGTGTCTGAATTTAGATACAAATACAATTTTAGATGAAATTCAGATATAAATTATTCTGAAATAATTATTGTTTGGGTTGTCCATGACATTGGTCTCTTCTAATATGGCAGCCCAAAACAGCTACACACATTTTATATTCTTTGGCTTAGGGCTTTTGTTTTTCTTTTCACAACTTCCTGATTTCATTATACATACCAAACCCAAAGATATCATTCGTTTCATGTAATTCTAAATTAACTAAGATCACTTGGTTAGACATTCAAAACGGCACATATGGAATAAGGCTGATGTGTAATATTACTTAAAACGTTTTGATTTTAAATGATCATTTTGGAAGGTTCTTTTTTTGCTCATTAACACTACTCTTAATAATAAGTGGATGATAAAAACAATAGTTCTTTTACTAGATATAGTGTCACAGAATCTTTATGATGTAAATTCCAAGTGAATATCTTTAAAATAAGAGCAAATAATCAAGAACTCCTATAAAACATAAGCTAAAACTGTTAAAAATGATAATGTAAAAACAACACTTCTGCAAACATTTTGATTGTTAGTTTTCCAGGAAACTTTAATAAAGTTTTGTGGGTGAACAGTAATAAAAATGGGTAAAAGAGAAGGTAATAAAAAATATTAAAGTTAGGTAGGTAAAAGACTCACTTTCGAAAACCTACCTTTATTATTTCCAAGTCCATAATCAAATCCTTGGGCGCTGCAACTTGCCCCTTTATTAAAAGCTTGCACTGAGAAAGGGCTTGGAGGAGGAGTCTGAGAATTTTGATCCAGAAGAACTTGTTCTATAATAAAAGGCACAGCTATAACATTAGTTTCTTATGTGCTATTCCCTATTCATAGAATAAAGAGAGAGTCGCCAAGAAAGAGTTTATAATGGTTAGATTTTAAAATAACCTCATATTTAGATTTAATAATAAGTCTAACAATTAGGGTCATTGACACTTGACAACGTAAATGACAAATCTTTGTTTTCATTTATCAAATACACAGTGAAACTTAGAAACTGGATATGTTCTTATGGAGCCAATTTACTTTTACTGTGGCTGGATACATCACTGAATGTATACCAATATTTTTGGACCAGGAACTCAAATTTGTACAAATTTATACAAGAGTATTTTATAAAATAAAAACGTGTACCCTATAAACCAGAAATTAAAATATTTTGTATATTAGTACTCAAATAGTAAAGTCTTAAAAATGTCTAAGTATACGGTACTTTTTTCTATTTGAGTACTAATATACAAAATATTTTCAGTTCTGAATATAAAAATTGTGGAAAATTTAACTTTTAACTTACTTTTACTTATTATATAAGGCCATTTTCCCCAAAATGAAAGGATGATAAACCAAGTCATATAATCAGAGCTATTTGCACATGCTCAAGTCAATAAATATATCAGAATTCCTATTTCATGAAAAAAAGGCAAATATTTTATTCGGTTTACAACATAATTAATAAGCTAAGTTATTCTCTATTATCAATCAAGTGGCCAAAAGAATCTGTATAATACTAAAAAACTAATGCCATAATTCAATAGCTATATTAATGCCAGCTTAAAAAAAAAGGCAAAATAAAATCTGCCAAAGGAAAGGTAAAAAAGGAGAAAAAAGTATTCCATCAAAATAACATAATGAATAATGAAAAGTTTTGAGTATATTTTTTAAAAGCTACGATCCCTTTAAAGACAAAATGGAACTAGAAGAAGGTGGTGGAGTATTCTTCCTTCCTGTGAATCAGAATCCTGCTGTACCACTGGTACTGTACGTCTACCCCTTCACTTACATTTCTAGACTCTTTTCAAGAAATCAATCCCAGCACTTCCCTTAGGCAATACTCTTGAGTATGAGAGATCTCAGCAGTGGAATATCTCTTCTGGAAAATACCCGTGAACACTAATCTGAATGGGAAAGACGGCATCACTCTTAAAACCTCAGAATGGTCTCAGACTCAGAATGGTCTCAGCACCAAGTATGAACTCTGTTTTTAACCAAGCAGTAACTTTGCCTAGTAGCTTTACTTACAGATATAAAGAATTTTAACAAGAGGAAAATTTTGTTTTACTTATAATACCTCATATAAATTGCCATAGTGCCAAATCCTCTTACTTCCATATTAGATACAGTTACTAATACCAATGAGCAGACTATTCGGATACAATTATCAACTAATCTTAGTGATTTTAAGGCACCAACTTATCACTTTTTCCCTGATCACCCCAGGTCTTAATGTTAATTTAAGAATCACATTATGATCAAATATATATGTATCAAAAGAGCAAAGGACCATTAAGTGATGGCAGAGAGAAATTTAAACTTCTGCTTTTAGGGTGGAATGTCTTTCTTAGCAGAAACAATATCCTAATTTAATTTAAGAAGCATTTTATCTAAGAAGAACCTTCTACCTTCTAAGTATATAGAAATAAAATTCTCCGTTTAAAAGTCAGTCTTTTTAGTATAGATGGCATTTTACGTTTTAATAACAGCTAACCTTACCATCTGCTAGCTTTATGTTATTATTTGTTCATGTAGCTTTCATATCGAACTTACAAAGTATTTTCATTTTGTAAATGAGAAAACTGAAACACAGAGATGTTAGGTAACTTGGCCAAGGTCACACTACTGAAAAGCTGCAGAGCTGGTGTTTGTACTCTAGCAGTCCAGCTCTGGAGTCCACTCTTACACATTAGGCTATATTGCCAGTTAAAATAATTATAAGCTAGGAAGGTCCTTTGATAGTTACCTAAACTATTCTCATATTATTTAACTATGTCTTCTATAAAGCTCATCTCACTTTAGGTATTTTCATTTACATCTAAATATTCCTATATAGTGGAAATGTTTAAGAATTTCTGAACTTGTAGTATGTACATAAGTATATTATAAATGGGAAGGTTATTTTGTAAAATGTCTGATTTACATCAAGTGAACCCTTTTTCATTGTCACAACAAATGAAGGATGGTTATGCCATTTCAGAACATTATTTTATAACCACATCATCTCTGACTATAAAAAGCGTGTCTGTAAAGACAAGGAAGGGAGTAGGTTCTCAAATTCTATTCATTGACTACTGACACAGGGCGGTATGGTGTAATGAGCACAGTATCTCAAATACGAATGAAGATTCTAGCTCAGGTCTTATATCTCCCATATATCCAGCTGTATAACCATAGGGAAGTCATTTTAAATTCTGTGACCTTTAGTTTCCTTAGCTGTAAAATGAAGATTATATAATTTATCACAAAGGCTTGTTGTGAGGAAAAAAAGGAGAATTGTTTAATGTACAATATTAATATATCTAGATGTACTCTGTCATTCATGAAGTTACAAATTTAAAAAAATCTATACTTATGGCCATATTACCTCTTGGACAATAAACACTGTGAATTTATTCTCTTTTGGATAAATATGCGTGTTCTTTTATATCTGACCTTTTCCTATAAGTTTTGGGATTTGGAATAAAATCTATGCTTGACTTACCCATTTATTTTGATGTCCTAACTAATATTTTTGTGACTCAACTTGTATTTACAAAACTTAATATGCAATTAGTATGTGCCAAAACTGTTTTAGAATGAGGAATATAAAGATTAAAAACGCTGTGCCTGTCCACATAGGACTCACAATCTAGTTTTAAAGATATAAAAATTAACTTCAGTAAAATATCAGTTTTGTCTAGTGGTGAATATAGTTCTTTGGGAACACAGATTTCTTGACTCAGTCAGGATCATTTAAAGCTTCACCCAAGTGATGACATGGCCTGAACTTGGAAGAACCATGTTTTTGCCCGCAGGAGAATGAGGAGAGGGGGACAATAAGGAAAGTCTTTATTAAATGAGATCGTTATTGAAAAAGATAAAGTTGAAAGCTGAAACTCTAACAACAAAATAGGAACGCTCCAAAAGATGCTACGCATTCATCCAATGCTCCTATTCTGAGACAAAATTCAATCAAATGAAATTGCCTGGGAGAAGTACTATGATTGTGGTTTGAAAAGTGAACTTCCATCTAGTGGCAGAAAGGGTAAAACATTCAGCCCTGGACTGGCACAGAATAATGAATCCACATCAATGAAATAAAAAGCATGGCTTTCAAAGATGGATTCATATGTTCCATATTTTCTTTTAATTCTCTTCTTACAGGTGCATTCATTTAGTATCCATTATTTTACAAACAAATGTTAACAATTGTAAGATTTTAACCTTCAGTTTTGCTTTTTACCTAAAAAATAAACACACAAAAAAGCTGTTTACTTCTGCATTTCAAAGGTTAATCAGAATAAATCACAAATTTAAGCCAACTTGCCATCTTCATGTCGGAGGTACTGGTTTCCGCCTCTGTCTCTAGCTAAGGACCATGCCTCTCCTTCATCACTCTCACAGAACTCTACCATGCTGTTCTTATCCAGCTGCACCCACGCACCTTCAGAATTGGTTACCTAGTACATAACAAAAAGCATGATTGATTCGCTTGATTCTTTCAGGGCACTCAGGCTGAAAACCAGCAACAAGTTTAAGTGTTTGAATAGGGTAATCATTCCGAAAGTTTTTACCATGAAATTAGTTTCTGAAATTAAGACCACAGCCTGAGGTAAGACAGAAATCAATAAAAAGTTCTGTAAAATACTGCTTATTTATGACTTTGGTAAAAATAATAATTTTTAAGGCACAGGATAATCCCTAAGTAACTTTAAACATTACCCCAAAAGAGGTGGCACTCTCTCGCTTTTTCTTTTTGGCACCTAAAATGTCCTAACACGGCAAACTATTATTTAGATTGGTCATGTCTACAATACAACCCGAAAATTACCCTGACGCTGAGAAATAGCATGACACACTACATCTTCAAGCTCATCGGTTGAGGCAAATGCCACAGTTGACTGAAAAGTAATTTTATTTGCTCAGGACTTCAGTGAGACACATAAATGGGAACAAAGAAAGGAAACTCTTTGTATGTATTACATCTCCATACCAATTCATAGCAAATATTTTAAAGTGCTGTTAATCCATGACGTTATCGTACATTTGTAATAATGAAAAGATATATGCACATACCAAACATTCATATATACAATACAAATCATTTTGTTATTATATTGTTTTCACAAGGATAATTATGAGAAAAATTTACTTAAAAAAGAAACACAGAAAAATTATGTTAGTAATATTTGTAATACAAGTAAAGATAAAGAACATTAACATTTAAAAACCTGGGATGGAAATGGCAACCTTTGGAAGAAAGAGATGCTCTGGTTGTATTATATTAAAAAGGAGTAATTTAGAAGTCATGAAGCTACAAGAATCCATACCTCTCCCACTGCTTTGACTTTGTTTCCCAGAACTAACATTCCAATTGGGATACCTCTAAGGTTAGGGCAGCTTCTGATGTTGTGACCGGAAGGTCCCGTCTTCACTACCTTGTACATGCCTGGCCCTCCTCGCAAGAACGGCATATCTTGTTCTTGCATTGTGGCTTCCTGTGGGCAGCAGGAGTTTATATCTTTGAAAAAGTCATCAGTATTAGTTTTAGGTTCCTGAAAATTTGAATAGGAAAAAAAAAATAAACAAAATACAATCTATTATCACTTTTGCCATCCTCTTATTAATAGCTTTTACAGCAAGTCTATAATACTATCAAACGAGAATACATATCCAAAGATAACAGAAATATATACATTACTACCATTACTAAAGAATCTTTCAGTTTTTCAACGTTGAATAATACTTAAAATAGAGGTGAAGAAAAGAAAAATTAGCGGGAGAGCAAATGAACCTCTGCTTTTGCCCACCACAGTTTAAGAAATATGGTAGTACTTGATTTTATTTTTATGTTTTAATGAAATATTAAACAGTAGGAACAACAAAAAAAATATACTCTGTGAACCACAACTGAATAATTTTGAATCATTATTACTGCATTGCTGTATGTTGGTATGGGTTAAAAAGTCTAGATTTTCATTTCCTTCCACTTCGTAATAATTATTTATAGAGAAAACAGGTGTGAAGACTCTGGAGACTTATTTATTAATAGCGATAGCAATGATGAAAAATGTGCATAAAATATAACTGCATCTTAATATTCACTAGTTATGAATGAATTAAGAGTGCTTATAAGATTTTAACAACTTATACTTTCTTAATATAATACAAATAAAAATGTCTTGCTAGATTTGTTAGGCCATTACTAAACAGCATTATATTAATGCTATTAACAGAAAAAGATGATAATACTTTCAGTACAGAGAATAATATCAAAGATGCATTTTTACAGAAATACAATGCATTTGGACATAAAAGGGTTACTTCTAAAATGAAAGAAAAGGATATGCCCTAAGTTTTCTGTTGAATCTGAATGAAATTGTTTCCCATGTGAATGCAATGAAGAGAAATAATAACCTCCTCATATTTGCTCATCCTCCCATCAACACGTAAAGGAAAGTTCCATACTGCGGGTTCCTCCATTGTCATTACTACTCCTTTAAGACAGATATAAACTGTACTTTTTTTTTTTTAAGATTTTACTTATTTATTTGACAGAGAGAGACACAGCGAGAGAGGGAACACAAGCAGGGTGAGTGGGAGAGGGAGAAGCAGGCCTCCCGCCGAGCGGGAAGCCCGATGCGGGGCTCGATCCCAGGACTCTGGGATCATGACCTGAGCCGAAGGCAGGCGCCTAACGACTGAGCCACCCAGGCGCCCCTTAAACTGTACTTTTAAATACAGTACTAGAGACTCTACAAATTGCTTTATGTTTAAATACAACAAAAGATGACCATACTGGGACACTTATTCAAACATTAGGTTAAAATTAATATTTAGTAATGTCCTATAAATGGAATAAAAATAAAAAAAAACCACCACTAACATTTATGCAAGATAAAATAATACTGAATAGTTCTATCCCTCTATCACTACAAGTAGTCTCATACTAAAGGGTCTTTTCTATGGTAAAAAATTAAAAATAAAATCCTGAGGTTAAAAACAATGTGGATTCAAGAATTCTGTGTACCTGTGACTTTAATTCAACATATGGTAGGGAAAATTTTAAACCCACTATTAACCTTCACATAATATTGTATAAATTTCATTATGGTGACAAATAATCACCAATTTTAAAATATACAAATAGGTACTAGGGATAATATTTATTTACAGTTAATGCAATTGTCATGCTGTATTTATCCAACATTCTTCATACAGTGGCAATTTAATGGAAATGAGAAGTTTAAATACCTGAAAAACTTAGATTAGATTTATAATCTAAAATAAACTTAAAATATGCATCGTACTTACCCATGCATATGTATTTGTAAAAACTTACATATGAATACAAAGAGAGTGCTCAAAATAAAAATGGAGAGTAAGGTCTAAATTTTAAACTGTGCTACTATACTAACAAAGTTTTCAGTAGACATTTAAAAATGTCTAGTTGTGAATAATCAATTTTAATACATACACCATGCTATTTCATAGTTGGAAGAGGCATGTCAGTCCTATTTACAACTCATTTTTTAAAAGTTACATGGTATGATGTCAAAAACAACAAGCAAATATGAATATATTTAGTGAAAAATCAATTTCACTGGTATTCAATGATATATTCACAGCTTTTAACTAAGTTATAACAATATTTCCAACTTTTGATCATTTAGTGTAACATTAAGAGGTAAGTCTTGGCAAAAACTAATAACAATTGCAAGTTATTCAGTGAAAGATAATATATGAGAACTTCTATTAAAATATTTAATATATTATTGAACAAAGAAACTATATAAATTAATAAATGTAAAACAAAGTCTATCCATTTTTTTATATTAAGCAGTATAAGAGCTGATAGACAAAAAAAGGTCATAGAACTGTAGCTGTCATTCTAAAGCAACCCTAACATACATGCTTCATTCAGTACAGAAATGGAAGACCTGGGGACCAGTGTGTGAAACTGATGAAGTGCAGTGTTATTTTTTTCTCCTTGCATTCCCACCCCATTCTCAGATGAACATCCAAAGGGGCATTGTGAAAGGCTAGGGAAGAAGAGAAGAGCCACAGAGTTGGGACTTTCCCACTGAAATAAGCAAACTCTGAGAAAGCCAGATGTGGATGTCACTGTGGGAGAAGCTAGTCATAAATTACATTCAGCAAATTTGAAGTCACATAAAAGTTTAACTTGAACTAATAATACATTCTTTGGCAAAAGTAGAGGGAAAAGGATTACCAGGGAAACTCAACTGTAGCACTTTTTCGGCAAAAATTCTTTTATTAACCGTAAGCAAAGGCTTCAAAAGGTAGAAGGTAAAATTTATTATACATGCTGAAATACCTGAATAACGTATGACTGTTCCTTACAGTTAACTCACCTGGGGAAAAAAAGCTTTGGAAGTCCATGAAAATACGTCCAAATCCCTGACTCCTTGGCTAGCATTAAAGATATTCTGAGCAACAAAGTTTAAGAAAGAAAAATATCAACAAAGAAAGGGAACAGGATATTATCTGCAGAAGATGCGTTCACAGTAACAACATTGTTCTGTACACTATAGCACCAGCACTGTGATATTATTTTACTAAAGGGAAACTGAAGCCACCTGAGTAAACGACACAGCAAAGAAAGACTGATCAATAAGTTTTTGTCAAAAGCTCTTCATGGATATAGTGTGTCATGCCATTTACTAAACTTAAGAGCCAGACATTGATTTAAAGCTTAAGACAGTCAATGCAAGTAGGAAACCTTAAAACTCTTTTAAGAGACGACGTATCTGTTTCAATACAAGCCAGATTTGTTTTATGACAGAAAATAGTCTGCTGTTTTATAAAGAAAATGTAAATAAATAAATTGTATAGATAGTGCAATTATTATTATGAATAATAATGGCATGTGGTTATCTGTGGACATTTTCACTTTTTAAAGTACAAAAAGAAAAAAAATTAAAAAGCTTAAAAAAAGTCATTTTTCAATTTCCCTTTCTTCTCTAAATGAGAAAAAATCATCTGGAAATGTTACTGAAAGCTGTTAGCAAATATGTTAAGAAAAGCATACAGAAAAACATACAACCTGAATCTTTTCTCAAAAGACAGGCCTAGTTTTCTCCATTTCAAAGTTTAGGAAAGGAACAGAGCATTTTCATCTCTATGTTAGAATCTAAAAATATTTTGTTAAACAACCAACTTGCAGCAGCATGGTCCCAGAAAAATCAACATCTTCACAAAATGTCTTGAGAAAAATGTAAATGGTATACATTTTACATAAAAATATCATGCTATTGAATATATTTGTGTGATCTGAAATTAAAATCTTTCCAGTGAATAGCAATTACACAATTTTACTGCTTATGTAAATACTGTGATAAATGGTTATTTTGGAAAAAAAAAAAAGAGGACACTTAAAATGTTAATAAAAGCTGTCATTATCTAAAACTTCAACACAAAAGAAACATAATTTCCAACCAATTATAAGCCATTTTAGATAATGAAAATCTATTTGATATTCTCTAGTTCTGTATTTTCCTCATGTATATATGTATGACAGACGTAGATACACACCCATATACATACATATGTATGTTAATTCAGAAATGTAAGACATATAAAAGCCAGAAAAATGAGTTTCTAGTAATATGCCTATAAATAAATGCAAAACAAAACAAAAACCAAAAACCAAACCCCCCTCCACATTTAAAAATGTACAGCAAATACGGTCCTTTCTCTTGAGGTGAAGTAGAAACATGATGCAAAGCATTTTAAAATACTATTTTTTGGGGAAAAAGATGTCCTTACTGGCTCATCCATGTATATAAGAATTTTTGGGCTATTGGCTCAATTGTTTTTCTCCTTCACGGAAAATAGTGGTGCAGACCTTTTGACATAAAACAATATCAAGATTTTTTTTTTAGCTTTTTTTTTTTAGCATAAATTTCTCTAGCGTTAAAAGCAATGTAAAAAGCATTGTGAAAAGCAAGGCAGAAGAAGTTAGTGATAAAGAAGCAATGTGGTGATTAACAATATTTAAAGCTTGTACCCTTCTTTTATTTCAATGTGCAAACTTAAGTGTTTCCTGAGTCTGAGAACATGAGTTAACATGTACAATGATACTTTAAAGTGACTTGACTGCTAATCATTGTAATAAATTGCCAATCAAATCAATTTTGTACATGTTAATCATATGGGGATTCAAATTTCACACTTATTTGCTTTTGTTCTGAATTTGTGGAAAATTATTAGCCACACTGGTTTACTATTATTTTTTTCAGAATATGGTGTCCAAACAAAATTGAATTTATCAAATATCAAAAATATACCAGATAGAAAGCCAGAGTTTAAAAATGAAATATACTTGCATGGTTTTCTTTAGAAAATTTAGGAAAGTTTAGTCTAAAGATATGTACATGCATGAAAATATTAATTTCTCCAGTCTCAATTTCTTACTATTAAAATACATAAATTAGCTTTCAGAGATTAATAGGAGTACCACTATGTATATATACACATACACAAATACACACATATCTGTAATAATCTAAATCCTTTTATTCTCAAAGACTAA